TGCGGTACCGTGTCTATCACCACCAAATCGCCTTCCTTGTACTGAGTTGGCTTGGAATGACGGCTGTCAAATCTTGCTTTCCATTTTTCCTTTTGTTTCTGGATGTTAGCAACAGCCTGCTGTTGAATTACCCTAACATCGAAATTCTCTCTTTCTTCATCACCAACCGCCTGGATAATTCTATTGTAACTGACATCTCTGAGACTAAAGTTGAATATTAAGTCATTTGGACTGAACTTTGTAGTCGCATTCAGCTGCGAGTTAATACTCCACTGTATCGTCGTTGTCTCAGTGTCCCATTCTTTTGTATCACCTACTAGACATTTCAACGCATTCAAAACTGTCTGGTTGATCCGCTCGGCTTGGCCATTGGCTCTTGGTGTTCGGACTGCTGTTTGTACATGTTGTATTCCGTTGTATTCCACAAACTGTTGGAATTCTTTAGACGTGAACGCCGTTCCCTATCCGATACAATTCTTCGTGGCTGTCCGAAAACCGACATAACTTCTCGCAGCGCTGTTATAACCGGAGCAGTCTTTGTATTCCTGGTTGGCTTTATAATGGTGTACTTACTGAACGAACAGACAATCAAGAATACATATTGATTTCCTTTCTTACTTTTTGGGAAGGGACCCATGTGGTCGATGTTGATACTTCTGAATGGAATTGGTAGGACTTCCTCAATATGTAATTCACCCTCTGCCTTGCCTCCTTTTACCTTGTTGTAGCAGCATTCCGGACATGACTGAATGTATGATTTTACATAACGTCTCATTCTCGGGAACCAGAAATCACGTTGAAGCCTTTGGAGAGTTTTCTCTTCACCGAAGTGTCCCAAATCATCATGACAAGCCTTAGTTATTCGCCACCGGACTCTTTCTGGAATCACCATACGTTTCATATTGTTGACTTTGCGAAATAGCCTCCCATTTTCTATTACATAGTCCGCTTTGATCTGCTTAATTTCATTTGCCTCGTTTTGCAAATTACCATTGAGAACTTCAAAGATGTGTTTCAGCTTCTTATCCGACATTTGCAGTTGATAGACCCAGTCGTTAATGTTCGTTGTGAGTGCCAGAACATTTTCCGCTACTGTTCGGGATTGACTTGATGGTAACGTTGGACTTCTGCTCATCCCATCCACATAACTTATGATGTTTCTCCGATGTTTCAACTTACGTATTATTTGGGTTATCATTTCCTGGAAGACCATCGGTGCATTTGTTAATCCGAAAGGCATTACATTATATTCATATAGACCGTCTGGTGTTATAAACGCCGTGAATTTCTTGGATTCTTCCTTGACGTGTATCTGGTAATATCCTGATGTCATGTCTAACGTTGTAAAATACTTATTTCCAGATAACAACGAAAGTTGTTCTTCAACCACTGGCATCGAGTACTGCTTTTTGATGGTGACTTCATTTAATGCTCGATAATCCGTACACATACGACTTTCACCGTTCGCCTTTTTGACCAACAATACTGATGCTGCATAGGGCGAATCACTTGGGCGAATAATACAACATCGAAGCAACTTGTCAATTATGTCTGACAGAATTTGTCTTTGAGAAAATGGAACTTGGTATCTTTTACCAACTACAGGCTTGTCCGTAGATAAACTTATTTCCATTTGTGTATTTTTACACCTTCCAAGGTCTTCAAGGGTTTCAGCAAAACAATCCTTGAATGACGACAGTATTTGGTCTAATTTTTCCTTTTGATGCTCATCCAGACTTTCTCCGACATTAAATGTACTTGGCATTCTTGACTTTACTTTCAAGACACCATGCTCAATTGTAAGTTTTGTTTGCTTCTTACACAATACGTCTCTTCCTAAGAGAACGTCATATCGCATCAAGTCATTCGGCACTACATAAATGGTAGTCATTAAACTCTCCTCGTCGATGACAACGTTAGTCTCAAACATTTCCACCACTTCAACAATAGATCCACCAAAACCTTTCATTCTTTTTGACGTTACTTCCATATCGCAACCCTCTGGAACTACAGCTTTCCGCATTAAGGTAAAGTCGCTTCCAGTGTCCACAAAACCTTCATATGTCTTACCATTGACCGTAACATCTTTCATAACCGGTGGGCAGTAATCCTTAGACTCTTCTGTCATTGCTGCCACAGTTGTACCTTTACCTTTGCATTGCGATGCATCGTGACCAATCTTTGCACATTTACTACACTTCGGCTTCTTCAATGGTTGTGGGCAACTAGTTGAGATGTGCCCAAACCTGTTACAATTGAAACATTTTACTCCCTTGGTTGGCGCTCCACCTGAGACACTTGCGGTTTTGTCATCCTCGTCATTCTTTGTTTGCTTCCTTGCATACGTTTGTATGGTCAAATTCTCCAACGACCTTAATAATTCACTACATGTCTGCGGGTTCATAGCTAAAAGTGTTCTTGTTAAGCTGCTATCATTGAGACCATTTATGATGTACGACAGTATTGATGCCTCATCTACGCTTCCTCTTTTCCCTATGGCCAACATTGCGTAATAATATTCCACCAAAGACTCATTCGAGTTTCGTTTCCTAGCTATAAGTTCACGATGAATGTCAGCAACACTTACTCGACTTGGGAAATCCTTTAAAAATTGTTGTCTGAACTCTTTCCATGTTTCAACCACTGGTAAAGCGTCTATCCACATTTTAGCAACACCACTCATTTTATGATGAACTGCAAACAAAGTTGTTTCATCTGACCATCCATGAAGCCTTTGCAACGTTTCAACCTTGTCAATGAATTGGACTGATGTAACATTTCCTTTAATTGGATCGAAGTCTGGTATCATTACTATGTAATCCTTTAAACAACCAGATGTTCCGGAACCAGATTGTCTTGATATTACTTCAGCTGGAACTTGCTGTTCTGTATCCCTTGAATTTAACCCTGCATTTGACGTAATAGCCCTTTCTGTTGAAAGTGTTGTTAACTGTTGCACACTCCTTGCTAGAGTCAACATTATATCCTTTAGCTCTCGCATTTGACTTGTTAGAGAATCATCACCCGTCTCAGCTTCATCAAATCCATGGAAATCCTCCTGTGACTCTGAATCTTCAACTTCCACTTCGTCATTTCCATTGCAAGCCATGAGTCTAGCAATTTTCTCGGACTTATTTCCTGTTCGTGGTAAGCTTCTTGCCAGTAATAATTTGTCTAGCTCCGCAACCTTTAACGAACTTATTTTCACCTTCATACTTTTCCTTGTGAATTTTCCTTTTTAATTCGTTACTTCAGCAAATCTAGAACTATTCCTTTTTTTTAGAAGCCGCACGCCCTAAAAATATACGTTAACTTTTCCCTTTTTAAACTTCTTCTTCGGGGTTCCCCTCTTTATGTCTTGCTTTCAATCTCCTTGATGTACTATCGTTGTCCTACTCACTCACACTTTTGAGTATACCTTTGTACATTCTCCTTTGATTGATGCTTTCTCCTTTGCTCTCTTTGAGCACGTTACACACTCTCACTAAACTCACTCGAACTTTTGAGTTTAGGTGCCTTTGCGTGGTTTCTCCTTTGGTCGTCGTTGTTGCTTTGCATTGAGCTCTTCACTACTACATCACTTTGACGCCTTAGTTTCTCAGCTCTTTGAGTATTTTTCTGCAATTCTTATCCAAAATGATGAAATTCCTTGTAGATTTCTGTTCTTATCCCACTTCTGATTCTGTCAAGATGGTTTTTTATTTAAAAATAAAAGTAATTCTGGGAATAAATACAAAGTTTAAAATGTAATATGCTCTACGCTCCTTAGATGCGTCCGCTCTCGGTCAATGCTCAACGACGACTGACTCATAAACTCATTTTGATAGTTGACAGAAGTAACAAAATAGGTTATTCGGAAGCGAAAGGTATTACTTCGACTCATGCTGCTTGTAGCATAGTTCTCAGTGAGTATGAAATTGGAGATAATCGGTCAAAATTTAGATAAAATTTGTGGAATTTGTTACTTACGACGAAATTGAGTCTGGAAACAAGGGTGTCAGAATTGGTGAAAATCTGTTCTGATATAGCTATAGCTCCCTTATATATTGCTCATCCGATTTGATATTTTTTATTTATTTCTAGTAATACAATAATAATTAAAACGAAGAAGTAACGAAAAGAAGGTATGGATGTCTAACTTCTTTTAGAAGTGATGAAATAGGTAATAGGCAGCGAAAGGTATGTCGCTAAAATCATCAAATTGCCGGATATCGGGAGGTACCGTTATATGGGGGCTATACGAAGACGTGGACCTGCACAGATTAATGATTTTAACGAGTAAGGAGTAGAGATACAAATTTCCAATGTATGGGTGAGTAAAGAGTAAAGGTGGAAATTCGTTATGTATGGATGAAAAATTGTGCTAGGTGAGCGCAACTCAGCATAATTTACCGCATCTCGATATTTGATAACAATTATCGATAGTTTACAACAATTACAGCGATTTTCTGAAAAATACAGGTTTTTTTTCGAAATTGTCATATCTTGAAAACGGTTAAAGTTATTGAGAAAAAATAAACGGCAGAAGTTAGCACAACTCTTAATTTTTCGAAATTCGAAAATTGCAATTCTGGCATACTTTCGAAATTGTCGTTTTTTTTCGAAATTGGTAAGAGATATCGAAAAAATGTTAACGGCACAATTGGGCACAAACCGAGTACAACTCATCACAACTTTAAATTTTTCGAAATTCGAAAACTGCAAAAAAATCTTTTTTCGAATATCTCAGAAATTTTTTCGAATTTCGTTAAAAAATTCACAAACCTAGCACAATTCAGCACAATTTTCCTTTTTTCGAAATTCGAAAATTGCAATTCGAACGGACACCACATTCCTTTGGGATGTAAACTTTCAAAATGCCGATACACTTGTCTTCTTTTTTAGCTTTATTTTCATAATCCACCGAGTTTTTCCTGTAATAATTTTTGTTTGCTTTGCACAGGGCCATGAAAGCTCGTTAATAAAAAATACTTCAAAAAATTTTTTTTTCTACAAATTGTGATAAAAATTTATTGCTTATACATTTAAAAAAAAATATTGCATTTCTTAACATAACATACATACACGAATACACATATAAAAAGTTTAATTATTTACAAACTATAATAGAATTCCTTATGATCTAAATACAAGGCAATACCAATCCATAACAGAGTATTCCAAACGGCTTCCAAAAGTAACAAAAATGAGTATTCATAGCGCCGATGCGCCAATGCCATGGTAACATTTTGTGCATGACCGTGTGGCCGACATACATGATAATGGCATTCATGCCACATGCTTCAAAGGGATAGCCCGTCCACCAGTGGCGTACATCTATGATATAGTACAGCAAACTCAACAGCGTAAAGGCTAGGGCGGTGGTCACGCAAACAAACGAGAGAGACCTAGAAGAGAAAGTGTATAGGTATTCATTTTTTATAGCGAATATGGATTTGGATTTTATATCATTTTACCATAAATTCTTATTGATTGGTATTATTCCAGATTCCTTGGAGAATTCACTTAAAATTGAGGTTAGAATTGTCAAAAACATAGACCAAAGCAACCAGCGTGTAATGCGAGCCTTCCAATCGGTGTGCAGTAAAATAATGACACCAGTTAGAACGCCGAATAGTACCTGGACAATGGTTAGCAAGCAACCTGGAAAATAAAATAAATATAAGTAAGGTGTGTTGTTAAAAAACAAACTCTCCATAGAACTTGAGGATGGGTAAAGTTTAAGTACCGAACAGAGTTTTTTCTATGAAAACAAATGTGCTCTTAAATAAATTTTGAAAAAAAAGACGATTTTTCTATAGAAAACCAGTAATGGAAAGTCAAATATCGGACGGGGTACACTATATTATACCCTACACCACTATGCATATTTAGTAGAGCTCCCGTAACAAAAGAATTTATTTGAAGTAGATCATACCACCTCATATCACACCATTTGGCTTTAGGCCGAAATTCATTCCATTCGGCTGATATTAGCCATTATTTGCACAATAAACCTGAAATCGGATAAAGGATATATATGGGAGCTCTATCCAAATCTGAACCGATCTTGATAAAATTTGGCGTGTGATGGTTTCATCGGACGTTTAAAGGCCATAATTCGTGCCAGAGGTGACCAATTCGAACAAATCTAAACTTATTCTAATTTTTTTCCGACATTTTTTTCTCTTTTCTTTCAATAAAATTAGAAAAACAATTTAAAAATTATGGCGTTTGATTCTGTTGCAGTTTTTTATCTCACCCTGTATATTGCTAGTGGAAACTATTTGTTTACGTTTTTGGCTGTTAATTTAATAAGTTTCCAATCTTACTGAAAATCTCCCTTAATATGTTATTTTTTGGAGAAAGTGTCAAAGGGGGCAATAATCTACACAAATTCCACTATACGTCTCAGAATATATTATATATCTATCTGTAATAGTTTTTAAGAAAATTACAGTAGAAAAATAGATATTACAAGTGGAAATTATTTGTTAACGCTTTTGACTGTTAAGTTTGTACGCTTCAAATATGGGTCAAAATCTCCCTCAATACTTCATTTTTTGGGGAAAGTGTCAATGGAAAAATTATTCTAGATCAAATTTCATTACCAGTCTCAGAGTAAACCCTATATCTAGCTATAATTGTTTTTAAGAAAATTAAATTCAAAATCTAGATATTACAAGTGGAAATTATTTGTTAACGTTTCTGAACGTTAATTTAGTACCTTTCCAGTACGGGTCAAAATTTCCTTTAATACTTCATACTTTAGGGAAAGTGTCAATGGAAGAATTATTCTAGATCAAATTTCATTGTGGTTGACAGAATAAATCCTATACCTAGCTATAATAGTTTTTAAGAAAATTATATTCGACACCTAGATATTACAAATGAAAATATTTGTTTTGATTTTGACTGTTAATTTAGTACTTTCCAATAGGGGTCAAAATTTCCCTTAATACTTCATTTTTTGGGGAAAGTGTCAATGGAAGAATTATTCTGGATCAAATTTCATTGTGGTTCGCAGAATAAACCCTATATCCAGCTATAATAGTTTTTAAGAAAACTATATTCGACATCTAGATATTATAAGTGGAAATTATTTGTTAATGTTTTTGGCTGTTAATTTAGTACGTTTCCAATAGGGGTCAAAATTTTCCTTAATGCTTCATTTTTTGGGGAAAGTGTCAATGGAAGAATTATTCTAGATCAAATTTCATTTTGAGTCTCGTAATAAACCATATATCTAGCTACCATAGTTTTTAAAAAATTAATTTGAAGTCTAGGTACTACAAGTGGAAATTATTTCTTAACGTTTTTGAACGTTAATTTAGTACGTTTCCAATAATGGTCAAAATTTCCCTTAATACTTCATGTCTTAGGGAAAGTGTCAATGGAAGAATTATTCTAGATCATATTTCATTATGAGTCTCAGAATAAACCCTATATCCAGCTATAATAGTTTTTAAGAAAATGACATTTGAAATCTAGATATTACAAGTGAAAATATTTGTTTATGTTTTTGACTGTTAATTTGGTACGTTTCCAATATGGGTCAAAATTTCCCTTAATACATCATTCTTTGTGGAAAGTGTCAAAGGATGAATTATTCTAGATCAAATTTCATTATGAGTCTCAGAATAAACCCTATATCTAGCTATGATAGTTTTTAAGAAAATTACATTTGAAATCTAGATATTACAAGTGAAAACTATTTATTAACGTTTTTGAACGTTAATTTAGTACGTTTCCAATGATGGTCAAAATTTCCCTTAATACTTCATGTCTTAGGGAAAGTGTCAATGGAAGAATTATTCTAGATCAAATTTCATTATGAGTCTCAGAATAAACCCTATATCCAGTTATAATAGTTTTAAGAAAATTATATTCGACATCTAGATATTACAAGTAAAAATATTTGTTTATGTTTTTAACTGTTAATTTGGTACGTTTGAAATAGGGGTCAAAATCTCCCTTAATACTTCAACTTTTGGGGAAAGTGTCAATGGAAGAATTATTCTAGATCAAATTTCATTATGAGTCTCAGAATAAACCCTATATCCAGCTATAATAGTTTTTAAGAAAATTACATTAGAAATCTAGATATAAAAAGTGGAAATTATTTGTTAACGTTTTTGACTGTTAAATATAGTACGTTTCCAATGGGGGTCAAATCTCCCTTAACACTTCATTTTTTGGGGAAAGTGTCAATGGAAGAATTATTCTAGATCAAATTTCATTATGAGTCTCGGAATAAACCCTATATCCAGCTATAATAGTTTTTAAGAAAATTACATTAAAAATCTAGATATAAAAAGTGGAAATTATTTGTTAACGTTTTGACTGTTAAATTTAGTACGTTTTCAATATGGGTCAAAATCTCCCTTAATACTTCATTTTTTGGGGAAAGATTCGATGGAAGAATTATTCTAGATCAAATTTCATTGTGGTTCACAGAATAAATCCTATACCTAGCTATAATATTTTTTAAGAAAATTATATTCGACATCGATATATTACAAGTTGAAAATATTTTTTAATGGTTTTGGCTGTTAATTTAGTACGTTTCCAGTTTGGGTCAAAATATTCCTTAATACTTCATTTTTTGGGGAAAGTGTCAATGGAAGAATTATTCTAGATCAAATTTCATTATGAGTCTCAGAATAAACCCTATATCCAGCTATAATAGTTTTTAAGAAAATTATATTAGAAATCTAGATATAAAAAGTGGAAATTATTTGTTAACGTTTTTGAATGTTAATTTGGTACGTTTTGAATAGAGGTCAAAATCTGCCTTAATACTTCATTTTTTTTGGGGAAAGTGTCAATGGAAAAAATATTCTAGATCAAATTTCATTATAAGTCTCAGAATAAACTCTATATCTAACTATAATAGTTTTTAAAAAAATTACATTCGAAATCTAGATATAACAGGTGGAAATTATTTGTTAACATTTTTGAACGTTAATTTAGTACGTATCGTATATGGATCGAAATCCGCCTTAATACTTCTTTTTTGTGAAAAGTGTAAATAAAAGAATTATTCCAAATCAAATTTTATTATGAGTCTCAGAATAAATCCTATATCTAGCTATAATAGTTTTAAGAAAATTATATTCGACATCTTGATATAACAAGTGGATATTATTTGTTAACGTTTTTGACTGTTAATTTAGTACGTTTCCAATATGGGTCAAAATGTCCCTTAATACTTCATTTTTTGGGGAAAGTGTCAATGGAAGAATTATTCTAGATCACATTTCAGTATAAGTCTCAGAATAAACCATATATCCAGGCAATAGTTTTTAAGAAAATTATATTTGGAATCTAGATATTACAAGTGAAAATGATTGTTTATGTTTTTGACGGTTACTTTGGGGTTGGGGGTCAAAATCTCCTCTAATACTTCATTCTAGATCAAATATTCTAGATCAAATTTCATTATAAGTCTCAGAACAAACCAAAAGTGTTGTAACTTCATATTATAAAAAATATATAATCATTTGTGGTATATAAAAAATTATATATGCTCTATGGATTTTTTCTTCGAGTGTATGAATGTTACATAGAACTTCGTTTGGGACAAAAAGTGTTAAAACAGGAAACTTTCTACACAAAATTTCACTATAAGTCTCGGAATAAACTATATATCTAGGCATAATAGCTTGAGGAACTTTTCGATAGACAAATAGAACATGTAATGTTACCATTACTCTGTAAAATTATTTTTATAGAAACAAATCTGTCCTGGAAAAATTTTCACCAATTTTCTAATTGTTTAATTATTATTGCCCCTATTTTTGTTCTATTTAACCTTACCGAAAACACCCTCCGGATCGAAAGGCTTCGAATCGTAAATGTATTTGGCAGTGGGATGTTGATATATGTGAGAATTGCCCAAAATCTCAAGATCAATATAGCCTGTAGCGCCACCAATGCAATAGGGATAGGCTGCATTGGAATGTTTGCCCCCAGGACCCAAGTAACCTCTGAAAAGAAAAAAATAATTTAGAAACTCCTCCGGATATAATTTGTCCTTTGAACTTACTTGGGACAATTGGGTACATTCAGTCCAAAAACAATCGACAAATGTATAATAACCAGAAGTAAGGCGAACAAAAGTTCCCCTTTAAAGGTGATAATATCGTACAAGGCTCGTTTCCAGGATACCTGAAATTGAAATTGAAGAAAAGTTAGAGTTTGGAAAAAAGATTTTGTTTTCATGGTTCTGATGAACTCAACATTATCCGGGTTCCAAGAAATTGAGTAGATTCTAAATAGAATCAAATCAAAAACTGAAAACCAGTAAGGAAAAGACAAAAACCGGTCGGGGCCGACTATATGATACCCTACACCACTATGCATATTTAGTAGAGCTCCCGTAACAAAATCATTTATTTGAAGTAGATCATACCACCTATCAACATTTGGCCTTAGAGCAGTTATAGTTTGGTTTCAGAGGGAACTAATATATATGGGAGGCATATCCAATTCTGAATCGATTTTCATAAACTTTGACGGAGACATTTTTGTTTCTAGATTGAATTCGGTCAGTTGTATCAAAATTCAAGAATTTCGGACAGATATTGGCCATTTGGTGCACAATTAACCCGAAATCGGTTGAAAATAAATATGGGAGCTATATCTAAATCTGAACCGATCTTTATAAAATTTGGCAGAGACATTTCTGGGCTGTATCTGATATATGGTACCAAATATCATTGTTGTGCAGTTCTTATTACGCATGTGAGGGACTTAAATGCCAAATCGGATGAAACCTATATAAGGGAGCTATAGTTATATCTGCACCGATTTTCTCCGAATTCGATGTACTTGCTTCTAGACTGAATTCGGTTGGATGTGTCAAAATTCAGGTCATTTGGACTTATATTAACCATTTGGTGCACAAATGAACCCGAAATTGGTTGAAGATATATATGGGGGCTATATCTAAATCTGATCCGATTTTCACCAATCTCAATGGGGTTCGTCCTTGAGCCAAACAAATATTGTTTGGAAAATTTCATCTCAATCGGTAAATAAATGCGACCTGCATTTTATTCACCAGAATACATTTATGGACGGACAGACGGACTGACATGCATACATCGACTCAGAAAGTGATTCTATGAAGATCCTCTAAAGTAGCCGTGTTTCTATGTCGCCTCCTTCTCCCTGTTACAAACAAAAGCACAAAGACATAATACCCTTACCATTATGAGGTGTAGGGTATAAAAACTCATTTCGAATTATGTATTTTCTTTGGCATTTATATACGTATCGCCATAGAGAAACAGGCCCTAAATTTATTTAGGATCAACTCAATTTCATGTAACCCCGATAATATAGAGTCAATCAGAACGATATAGAAAGTTTCTATACATACCTGAGGCTCAATGCGATCCCTTTGTGTCAAAAGAGTATGTAGGATGCCACAAATCAAATAGGCTATACCGAAACGTTGCAGAACGCCCATTATGCGAAGATTTTCCAAATTTGGACCATTTATGGAGTTTAAACACAGGCCAATGGAGAATAACTTGATGGATCTCTAGAATAACAACAATTTTATTATTTAATATTTTATTTTTAAGGTGATTCGATTTAATTGTCCCAAAAGTATTGGACGTTCTTTCTGCTCACCCATGCTATCCTAAGGCATATTTGCATTTTTGTTGTACCCCTGGACAGTTGTGATTTAACTGAAATTGGTATACAAACTCCCATAATCCAGAGGAATGATGGAAATACAACATCGGCTAAATGTAAACCATTCCATGGAGCATGTTCAATCCACCAATAATCGCCGCCACCGCTGTTTACGAAAATCATCAAAACAATTGCCATGCTGGATAGAGAAAGAGAGACAAAAATCGCGATTAGAAATTAAAAACAAATTGTATGAAATAAAAATTTCCTCACCCCCGAAAAACATCCAAACTCCGCATACGATTACGTGCCGGCTGTGGTGTGGGCGAGGGGGCATTATCCAAAACTTCATCTTCGTAACGATATGAACGCCAAGCGCAAAGGCCAATTTTCAAGACAGTCAATATCAATGCCACCAATACGAAAACAGATAACAGAGCTGTAAGGAAAATAAGAACACAATAACAACAAAGAAATATGTCATACAAAAATTGCCAACAATTGGAAAGTGGTTGGTTGGTTGGTTCAGTGACCACCATTCATTGGTTATAAATCTAATTTTAGCTTCTCCTCTGCCAGCTTTTACACACTCACAATAATTGACATTTACACCGTCTTTATCGATTTCCCAGCTACAGGTACCATCCACATTAATCGTCAGGTTGTATACCCCGAATTCCTTTAAATTTCTCTGCTCGAATTCACACAGAGCCGTTCTGTAATGAGGAAGGAATTTTTAATGACCGCAAAGGGAGGTAAGTGAGTAATTTTATGGTAAATAAAAAAACTGAAAAGGATGATTACTGTGGGAATGATGGGAATTAGGGTGAAGTTGCACTCTAGAAAATAATTTTTTGGAATCTTGAAAAAAGGACTTCGAAAAAAAGTCAAGGGTTTTTGGGAAAATTATTTCAGAATAGATAAAAGTCTGAGTAGCAGCAAGAGATTATTTTTTTAAGAGACAAAACTATTTGGATTTCCGAAACATAGTTTTCTTTAGAAAAGTGTTTTGGCAAATAAAAAAAAAAACAAATTCTCTTCTACAGAAAAATCAATCCTTGGGTGCTGAGGGTTACAAAATTTCTCAAAAATGGTCATCGGTCCAACAATTGTTATACTCTACTCCACACAGTGGTAAGGGCATTATGTCTTTGTATTTTGGAAAACAAAATGCAGGTCACATTTATTATCCGATTGAGATGAAATTTTCCAAACAATATTTGTTTGGCCCAAGGACGAACCCTTTTGAAATTGGTGAGAATCGGTTCAAATTTAGATATATTGCGCCCATATATATATCTTCAACCGATTTCGGGTCAATTGTGAACCAAATGGCCAATATCAGTCCAAATGGTCTGAGTTTTGGTACATCCAACCAAATTCAATCTAGAAGCAAGTACATCAAATTTGAAAATCGGTTCAGATAGCTATGGCTCCCATATATATGTTTCATCCGATTTGGGGTTTTAAGTCCCTCACATGCGTAATATGCCCTCCACATGAATGATCTTAGGTACCAGATATCAGACATAGCTCAGAAATAATTGTTTAAAATTTGGTAAAGATCGGTTTAGATTTTGATGGAGCTATATCCACATATATCTTTATCCGATTTCAAGCTTTTTGTGCACCAAATGGCCAATATCAGCCCAAATGACCTGAATTTTGGCACATCCGTCGAATTCAGTCTTGAAGAAAGAACATCAAATTTGGTGAAAATCAGTTCAGATATAGCTATGGCTCCCATATATATGTTTCATCCGATTTGGAGTTTTAATTCCCAAAATAAAAAATCAAAATCAGTCCAAATTAAAAAAATAACCATTTAACCGAATTTTACTGTTTGGTGAAACTAGGTCCGGTATATCTATTGCTCCAAGAAATATTTTTTAATATAATCCTTATCGAAGTCATATCCTGCATTATACTGCAATGTTATTTGGTTCATAATTGGTATGATCTACTTCACATAAATTCCCAATATAAACTTTTTTGTTACGGGAGCGCTATTAAATACACCTAGTGGGGTAGGGTATCATATAGTCGACTTTTGACCTTTCCTTACTGGTTTTCTCTAAAAGCCGTCTTATTCCACAATTCGAAGAAATCTGGGATTGGATTCTTGTTCTATAAAATATGAGGTGAAATATATTTCCTTTACAGGTAATCTGTCCTGGAACAGATTTCTTTAAATTGTAGAATAGGATGTTTTTAGAAAAAAATTGCGGGACCGAGGACCATTTTTGAGAAGAATTGATTTTTCTGTAGAAGAATATTAGTTAATTATTTACCGATCCTTATAATTCTAAAGATAATTTTTTAGTCTGTTTGTGAATGTTTCATTTGACATTTCTTTCCCTAAAAAAAAAGTTTTCATTTCAGGTTTACATAGAACAAGGATTGAGGTCCTAGTTTAGAGTATAAAATATGTCCCTGGCTCTGAACAAAATTTCGATTCCTAGGTTCTTTGTACTACGAATTGTTCCCAAATACGCAAAAGATTGCAAGGTTCATTGCACCACAAGCAACTCCCACAATGCAGCAACATTTTCACTTCCCTCCGACTTACTCATTGCCAAATGCATAACGTCCCACATCGTGATCGAATACTTTGAATTTTAAACCGTGCGCCACATTTAGAGTAGTTGTGACGTTAATGAATCTCTCTTCGCCATTCGACAGATGTTGCGGTAAGGCTTTCACCTTTGTGTAGGGACACTGAAAATAAATAAACGTACACACGAAATTTAAAAATAATTTGTTTTTAGCTGACATGCAAATGTTTGGCGTATTTATTGGTCAATAAAAATAACCAATAATTGCGGAATTCGTCATCGACTTGGACTTACCGTATAACACTCTTCGGAAAGGGTATATAAATAGGTTACGGTATTATACAAGCTTTTGGGTATTAGGTATGCTTCATCGACTTTCAGTTTGCGCATATCAAGACCACGCCAGGTGGGTTCAACATATTCCGTGAATTGGGACATGGTGTGGGGGCCCTGAAAGGAAGAAATAGTAAAGGAACCATACATAGTATGGAGGTTACAGTAAGTTCGTAACTCATTGAAATAATAATTTTAGGCCTAACAAAGTATACATATTCTTGATCAGCGTAGAATTTTAAGGCAATTCAGCCCTGTCCCTCCGCCAAGTTTCCGTCTGTTGTAATCACGCTAGAGTAGCCACATTTTTCAATGGAATTGTCAGAAAATCCACAAAAAAGTTATTTCTAAATACTTTACCCCCTGGAAAAGAATTTTCTATATAGGTCCACGATATCGTATTGTCCCCATACAACGGTACCCCCTTGATATTCGCTATTTCGGTGATTTTAGGAACATTATTCACCGGAATTGTTTCAAATTTCGCGTTGAAGTTCCTAATTGGTACTACAGCCTGTGACAGAAAATTTGCTATGCAGGTCCAGGTCTTCGTATAACTCCCTATAACGGTACCACCCGATATTCGGTATTTTGATGATTTTAGCGACATTATTCACTGGATTTTTTTTCCAATTTCATGAAGTTCCTAACGAGTACGACAGCCTGTGACAGAAAAAGAAATGCACAATTCTTTGTACAATCCCATATATCGGTACCTCCTTTTTTTGAAAATTTCCGAATTAGTTCCAAATGGTGGAGGATATTTTTATTTTTTTTTTTTTTTTTTTTTGACTTAAAGCGTGTTATTGAAAAAATAAAATTAATTTTTTTAAATAAAAATAAAGCAATTCAAAAACCAAATCTTCGATTTCCTTAAAAAATCCACTATTAAAATTACCGTTTATAGCTCGAATAGCTCTTAAAAATATATTCCTTTCCTTTAAGGAAAGGTCAAAAGTCGGGCGGGGCCGACTATATAATACCCTACAACACTATGTATTTAGTAGAGCTCCCGTAACAATAAAGTTTATATTGGGAATTGTAGAAGTAGATCATACCAACTATGATCCAGATAACATTGCTGTATAGTGCATGATATGACTTAGATAAGAATAATATTAAAAAATATTTCTTGGAGCAGTAGATATACCGGACCGAGTTTTACCAAAAAGTGAAAATCAGTTGAATATGAAAAAATCTATTCAATTTGGGCTGATATTACATATATGGTGGATAACCGTAAAATCGGATGAAGATTTATATCGAAGGTATATAAAAATCTGAGCCGATCTCGATGACATTTGACAGATATATTTTCGAGCTGTATTTGATGTCCGGTGTCAAATATCATTGTTGTTGAGTGCATATTACGCATGTGAGGGATTTTAACACCAAATCGGATGAAACATATATATGGGAGCTATAGCTATGTCTGAACGAATTTCACCAAATTTGAAGTACCTGTTTCTAGGATGAATTCAGTCGGAATTGTCAAAATTCAGTTCATTTGGGTTGATATTGGCCATTTGGGCGCTATAAACCTAAAATAAGATAAAGATATGTATATGGGAGCAATATCGAAATCTGACCCGATCTCGATAAAATTTGGCAGAAGTATTTTCGAGATAAATAAGTTATCTAGAACCAAATACCATTCTTGTGGAATGCATATTATGCGTGTGAGGGACTTTAAATCCCAAATCGCATAAAACATATATATGGGAGCTATAGCTATATCTGAACCGATTTCCATCAAATTTAATGTACTTGCTTCTAGACTGAATTCTGACGGATGTGCCAAAATTCAGGTCATTTGGACTAATATTAAGCATTTGGTGCACAATTAACCCAAATCGGTTGAAGATATATATGGGAGCTATATCTAAATTTGAACCGATTCTCACCAATCTCAATAGGGTTCGTCCTTGGGCCAAAAGAATATTGTTGCAAAATTTATTATCTCATTCGGATAATAAATGCGACCTGCATTTTATTCACAAAAATACATAGACGGACGGACAAACGGACTGACATATGTAAATCGATTCAGAAAGTGATTCTAAGAAGATCGTCAAAATCATTATGGGCACATCCCGCTTCCTTCTCCCTGTTACAAACAAATGCACAAATACATAAACCCTTACCACTATGTGGTGTAGGGTATAAGAATCGCCTTTATATTAATGCTTATAGATCTAAAATTCCTTCAAAAATATTCTTTTATCTAAAATCTACTCTTATAGTATAGTTAGTCCCTATAAAATATTTTTAAAAAATCCACGGTAATATATAATAGTCCGATATATTTATTCATTAGAAAGTTCATTCCTTAAAAAATATTCCTCAAAAATGCATGCTTATAGCATTATGTACTTTGGATAGTCCTTCAAAACAGATTCTTAAAAATTCACACTAATAGCTCTGATCGTCCTTCAAAATAATGGGCTTCTAAATGAACCCTTAAAGCTCTAATAGTACTTTAAAAATATTCCTTAAAGTCCACACTTTCAGCTCTATTCGTCCTTAACAATTTTTTTTATCTCCCTAGTGTCCTTAAGTTGCCCGAGAATTACATATAAAATTATTATTGCAATTAAGAATTAATTCCCAAGGAAGCTTATATTAATTTAATATATATTTAACCGATTTCGCTAATGCCTTCTTCAATGTTGAATTTGAAAAAATTATTAATTTTGCCACTTGCCATGTGTGTAAGCCTCAGCTAGTTTATATCGGTCATTGAAACCGGCACCTTCGTCAAGTTTCTTTTTTTTTTTTTGTTTCGATAAACACAAGAGTAATTTGTGATTTGTTTATGTTTTGCAATAATTAAAACAAATAATTACATGGGCGTATGCGTACAGTGGCTAAAAGTTTCTCTAAAATTATATTTTTTCCTATACAGGGTGAGATGAAAAAACTGCAACAAACTTCAGACTGCTGTCATTTCTGAGCCACTCGTCCGGCAGCTATTAAAATTCCAGTGACAGCTCTTTATATTTTTTACAAGCGTACAAAAGCATTTTGGTGAGCATTTTCCAGAAAAAAAAAGTTATACGTGATGAAATTCAAGCGTGATTTCTTTATATTTGGCTGGAAAACTACAAGTGTCTACGGTTAGAGCCCTTCAGCATTTAAATGTGAATAAATATTTTGTGTCTCGTACCATCGCTCGTTACCGTGATACTGGTAGCGTAGCCCGACGTCAAGGAAGTGGACTGAATTAAACAGCAACATCAGCAGAAATGGTTGGAAAAGTACAGAAGCGACTTGAACGAACCGAAAAATGGCTCGTGAGCTGAACATATTACAATATTGCATTCGGAAAATGTTGAAAAAGGAGCTCGGGGTAAGACATAGAAATTCCAAAAAGTGCAAGAACTTACACCGCAACAGAAAGAAAATAGACTCAAAAGAGCTAAAGAGTTGCCTTGCTTGGCCGAAGAAAGTTGTGAACTGCCAAATTTGTTTTTTTCCGATGAGAAAACATTCGTTGTCTAGCAGTTTGAAAACAAACAAAATGATCGTGTTTATTTGCCAAAGAGGTCAGCTGAAAATGTACACCTTCGGTTGGCCACCAGAACTCAAGTGCGTGATGGTGTGGGCCGCCATAACAGCCGATGGTCGCTCTCCGCTCGTATTAATGGATCATGGCATCAGAATAAATGCCGAATATTATCGCTAAAATATTCTGGAGGGCGCATTAATGCCTTGGGCACACAACATTTTGGCAGCAGACCTTGGGCATTCCAACAGGACTCAGCACCATCGCACTCAGCACGCGCCACCCAAGAATGCTTTCAATGTGAGGTTTCTCGTTTCATTTCCAGCACTCAAGATCTCCGAATAACAATCCGTTGAACTATTGTGTTTGAAGTATTTTGGAAAGCAAATTTGACACTAAAAAAATACCAAACAAAATGGACCAAAATACCGACAGAGCAACATTCGGACAGCGAGTGACGGTTTCATTGGTCGTTTGAAGGCCATAATTCGTGCCAAAGGTGACCAATTCGAACATGTCTAAATTTGATGCTATTTCCGGCATTTTTTGCTTTCATTCAATAAGATTTAAAAAAATATTTAAAAATTATGGCGGTATTGGTCTGTTCCAGAACTTGCAAGAATTCTACTAGTTTTGCAATTTTCTCCGATGTCACAAAGGGAAAATCGGTTATCGTTGTAAAAAATTTGGAACAACTCTAGTTTAGTAAAAACTCTTCGATTTCTTCGAAATTTTTCCCAGAGGTAGGTATTTTTACCATGATTCCGGGAAACTCTTTTTTCTTGAACCCAGATTTTTGACCCGAAAATCCGGCCTGGACACGGGCCCTATTACCCGTTACAGACAATATAAGCTTTCCAACGATACCTATATTGTCTATATTGGGTAATTGGATCCGGGTCTAGTCGGGGTCTTGAACCCCAAGAAAAAAAAATTTTTCCCGCAATTAGGGTAATTTCGAAAAAATCGAATTTTTTACTAAACTAGGGTTGTTCCAAAATTTTACATTCTTGAAGTTCTGGAAAAGACCATATATGTTTCATTTAATTTTGTATTTAAGTCCTTCCCACTCGTAAAGTGCACCCCGAACCAACGATATTTGGTGATAGCTTTCAGATACAACATATAAACACTTCATACATTTTATAGACATCAGTTCCGATTTAGATATAGCTCCAATATATATCATCATTCGATTTCACGACATATATCCATCCGACAGGATGTGTTTAGTTGAAAATCGGTTCAGTCACAAATGTATCCGTCTAATTTAGGGCAAATCGATTCACAGTAGGATATACGTTCCACTCTAAATTGTTCTAAAGCCATAGTATGCATGCAAAATCGATCATAGTTAGTATGATGTACTCCTCATAAATTCCCTATAAAAACGTTTATTTATATATTGTGGACAGCTCTACTTATTAAACATAGTGGTGTAGGGTATCAAAAAGTCAACTTCAACTTCGCCCGACTTTTGACCTCTCTTTACTGGTTTTTGCATTTATTTAGTATTGCTTTGAACCACTGTACAACAATAATAACCGCCGCAAGTGTGTGTACGTACGTGTTTATTTCCTTTCAAGTTCCACTTACATTTGTTGTTGTTTTTTTTATTCACATCAAAATTATTCGAGAAGTTGATGCCAAAAACAATTTAGCAAGTGCTTAGATTTCATATACGGTTGAATAATTCTTCATTGGATGTTGTTGGCGTTTTTGTTTAATTACTTTATAAACATAATAATGCTTTTATTTTAATATCAAAAAAATGTGAATAAAAAAGTATCACTAAATAAAATATTTTCACTTTTTGTTTTCAGTTAACTACCGCCCCACCAGAGTCCGCACTTTGTTTTTGTTTACGCGCGACAACACACGACGACAGCAGCCAGAGTACGTCGAATGTGTTTGGAACAGCTTGTTTTGAATAGAAATGAAAGAAGAACGGCAAAACACACGAAATGCATTCAAGAGAGAGGTAAATAGAAAGGGAGAAAACCAGAGAGCTTTGGCTGACAAGGCACTGTGGTTTGTCGTTTATATCAAATATGAAAGACCAAAGCTGCAATTTAATTTCGATGTCATTTTTGTTTGTTTCTTCTGATTTCGTAACAGTAATTAGAGACAAATATGGCAACATTAGAGGAATGTAAAGAATAAAAGCAAAGACCATTTGTTTAGAAAACACTGTAGAAGTGGGAATTAAGAACAATATTATATTTAAATAAAGTTTTTTTGTGCGAAAGGAAAGTTAATTTAGTCTGTTTTGTACAAAATGCCCTCTTTGAGTTATTTTAGTTTAGTTTTTATATTTGATGCACTTTAAAATTGGTAATGCCAGATTGCTTAGTTTTCACAAAGGAATAGCTTTTGTCTGAAGAAAAATATGGTTTTAGCGAAAAATCATGGTAGATGTAAGAAGATAAAGCCATGCTATCAAATGTATACATTTTTTCAAAATTATGCCTTTTCAAAACTATTTTGTTGTCTGCTTCTTCATGTGAGGAATGTGGAATCCATCTTCTAGTTTTAGTAAGGACGAGAAGTGTTCAGGAAACACTGGCGTTGCTTTCAAGGCTAAAGGTGAGAATACATAAAACGATTTTCTACTGGCTTAAGTTTTCAACTGCCTTCTTCGTAGAGGAACAAAGGAGTTTTAGGTTGACTTAGTTCGGTTTTGGCCCTACGCTCCTTTGCTTGACTTGACTTTGACTTAAGCCAGTCAAAAAAGACTTAGGGTGGAAATACATAAAACGCATATTTGGCTGGCTTAAGTCTTCGCCTGGCTTCTTCAGAAATGAACAAGAAGCCCAGTGCCAAAATCGAACTAAGTCAACCTAAAAATCCTTTGTTCATCTACGAAGAAGCCAGCCAGATAAGCACTTTATGTATTCCCACCTTTATGTACTCTCACCTTAAGTTAACGGCTGGCTATAGAGTATAAACTTTATACTTTTTCGTTCGAGGCTGCCCATAGCTGATCTAGACTCTAGAGTCTAGAGATTCTAGACACACCACTGTTTCATACCTTTTTCTCTCACGTTCTCTCTCGTTGTGAAAACATATGTTTTTGACAATAACAACATACAACAGCTGTGGAACATTGAAATGCAATCCACATGTATTTACACCTAGGCCTCGTATAATGCATGATAGAATTAAGTAGTAGATTACAACTTTTTTGTTATTTTACGAAGAAAGCAGCCTATGACCTGTGCCGGAAACTAACACACTTTTTATACCCTCAGCCATATGGCTACAGAGGGTATATATCATTTGATACGGCCAAAACGTGCCTAGTCGAAATAACGGTTTTAGACCCTAGGTCTCTTTGGACCAAATCCGTTTCAGAACATTTGGAGTCGATCTAGCTATGTCCGTCCGTCCGTCCGTCTGTCTGTCTGTCTGGCTGGCTGGTGCGCACGATAACTCTCGAAGGGAGTATCCGATTTGGTCCAAATTGGCTACAACGTAATATTTTTGTCAAACTTAGATCGAGTTCGGAGATGGGCAATATCGGTCCACTCCTTCTGGTACCTCCCCCACAAAAGGTCGAAATTTTCAAAAAATATATTTTTTGCACAGGAAGAGAAAGGATAATCCGAATTTGCTCCAACTTTGCAAATCCTAATATTTGCGTCAGTGCTAGGGCAGGTGTGGAAATGGACAATATCGGTCCACTCCATCAAGTACCTCCCCCACAAATGGTCAAAATTTTGAATAATTACAACTCTCATAAAATGTTATGTAAGAGTCCGATTGTCTTCAAATTTCACACATCCCAATATTTATATTAACCCAAGGTCTGGTGTTAAGATGAACAATATCGGTCCACTCCTTCTGGTACCTCCCCCACAAAAGGTCGAAATGTTCAAAAAATATATTCTTTGCACAGAAAGAGAAAGGATAATCCGAATTTGCTCCAACTTTTCAAATCCTAATATTTGCGTCAGTGCTAGGGCAGGTGTGGAAATGGACAATATCGGTCCACTCCATCAAGTACCTCCCCCACAAATGGTCAAAATTTTGAATAATTACAACTCTCATAAAATGTTATGTAAGAGTCCGATTGTCTTCAAATTTCACACATCCCAATATTTATATTAACCCAAGGTCTGGTGTTAAGATGAACAATATCGGTCCACTCCTTCTGGTACCTCCCCCACAAAAGGTCGAAATGTTCAAAAAATATATTCTTTGCACAGAAAGAGAAAGGCTAATCCGAATTTGCTACGACTTTGCGAATCCTAATATTTGCGTCAGTGCTAGGACAGGTGTGAAAATGGACAATATCGGTCCACTCCATCAAGTACCTCCCCCACAAAATATTGAAATTTTGAGTACCCATGAAGCTCATAAATCGCCAAATTAACGTCCGATTCCATTTAGACTTGGCACATCTGTCGAAATATTTATATCATATTTTGGGTCCGATAGAAAATGGGCAATATTGGCCCATTCCTTCGGGATCTGCTCCGTAGAGGGTCAAACGTTTGAATAACCTTAACACTAGTCAAAATATATTTAGATAGTCGAACATAGGCTGAGGGTATATCTCTGGCGGCAATACCGACTGATACTTTTTAACTTGTTGTATTTTATCATTATTGTTATTTCCCTGTCTGACTGACTGGTGCGCACGATAACTCTCGAAGGAAGTATCCGATTTGGTCCAAACTTGGTGTATCGTAATATTATTATCAAACTTAGATTGAGTTCAGAGATGGGCAATAACGGTCCACTCCTTCTGGTAAAAAAAGTTCGAAAATTTCAAAACAAAAAAAAAAAAATAGTTTACTTCACAGAAAGAGGTGGGAAAATTGACAATACCGGTCCAGTCCGCCACAAACGGTCAAAATTACATTTTATAAAATGTGAGGTAACAAATATTTTTTATTTACCCAAGGTCTGATGCGAAGATGAAATATATCGATCCAATCCTTTTAAACTTGGTACATCTCAATATTTCTATCAACACAAGATTTGTTATAAAGATGGTACAGATCTTGTGGTACCTCCACAACAAAGGGTCAAAGTTTTGAATAAGCAAAAGGATTATAATATCCGAAATAAGCATATGTAACAAATCCCATTATTTCTACTAACACAGGATCCGCTATGAAGATGGGATATACCGGTCCACTCCTTTTGGTACCTCCCCACAAAGGGTCAACATTTTTAACATCCGATTGCTTTCAGACTTGTATATCTCAATATTTTCTTCAATACAAGATCTGTTATAAAGATAGTAGAGATCGGATCATGTATTATGGTACCTCCCCCACATAATGTTCAAGATTTTGAAAAACCAAACGCTCAAGGAAAGCTTAAAAGGTATTCAACTCTCTTCAAATTACACACATACACACATTTTTGCTAGCACAAGATCTCTTGTGAAGATGATATATTTCTGCGAACCCCTTATGATACCTCACCCACAAAAGGTTACAATTTTCAATACTTTTATCTGTCATGACTTACGAAACAAGTCGGCGATTCTTTACAACTTACGATATCTATATATTTCTCTCAACCAGAAACCTGAGATAAATATGGAATTTCGCATAAAATTGTGTATAAATTTTCGATTTTCTTGTAATTTTGAACATCCCAATATTTTTATTTGTATTAGAAGAAGTATGAAAAGTGGAATACTTCGTTGGACTATATCTGATATAACACGCACATTTTCATCTTTTCTAAAAATTATCACATATCTCATTTAAGGTGAAGGGGAAGCAGTCATTATAGTCCAAACCTAGCACGTCGCAAACTTTACACAAACTAATTTAGGTTCGATACGAAATGGACAATATAAGAGGTTAAATATTTGAATAATCTAAAGTATATTTAAATAATCGAACATAAGCTGTTTTTAACTTGTTTTACTTTACCTTTTTAACTTGATTTATTTTACCTTTAACATCATATTGTCAGATCAGTGATGGAAACCTGTTTTTAAGGCAGTAAAATTTGACAATATAAGTTGCAGAAAATACAGAAATGGATATGCTTATTCGGATGTACTTTACTTTGTTAATTCTACCCTGTTGGCAGCTTTATACGTTTTGGGATGAAAAAAACCCTAGATATTTAATGTTGTAAAAAATCCATGAAGTTCCATTAATTTTTTCCGACTTAATTATTGTGGAAAGTATTAAAATATTGTGGAAAGACTCTAGCTTTACATTTATATTTCCTATATTTTATCAATCTGACCTACCATCGTGTTATTGCATGATTCGTTTATCCAGTAAATTTTTGAAATAACTCTTTGTGATATTAATATCTAATCAATTACTCTATATCATAAGTCTTGACAATTGATGGCTTCTGGGTTAAATTAAATGACTTATACAGGGTGAGATGAAAAAACTGCAACCAAATTCAGACTGCTGTCATTTCTAAGCAACTCGTTCGACAGCTGTCAAAATTATTCCAGTGACAGCATTTTGGAGAGAATTGGACCGAAAAAAGTTATTCGTGATGGAATTCAAGCGTGATAGTGTGATTTCTTTATATTTGGCTGGAAAACCACAAGTGGCTATCGTTAGAGCACTCCAGCATTTAAATGTAAATAAATCTTTTGTGTCTCATACTCGTTGTGTCTCATGGCTCGTTACCGTGACACTGGTAGCGTAGGCCGACGTCAAGGAAGTGGATGCAAGAAAACAGCAATATCTGCAGAAATGGTTCGAAAAGTAAAGAAGCGACTTGATCGAAATCCACCTCGCAGTGGCCGAAAAATGGCTCGTAATACATCGCAATATTCCCTTCGGCAAATATTGAATAATGAGTTCGGGGTAAACCTATTGTAATTCCAAAAAGTGCAAGAACTTACAGCGCAACAGAAAGAAAATAGACTCAAAAGAGCTAGAGTTGCTTCGCTTGGTCGAAAATGGTGAACTGCCGAATTTGTTTTTCTCCGATGAGAAAACATTCGTTGCCCAGCAGTTTGTAAACAAACAAAATGATCGTGTTTACTTGCC